GAGTTCTTGCACTTGACTGATAATTGTTTTGGAGTCCACCATTTTATAGTCTAAGAATCTGTCGACAATAACTTTTTAGCCCCGGCATCCTCAATTTTATATTTTCGGTCCAAAGACTCTCACAACTCTTTAGCAGTTTTCATAGTACTATACACATTGTATAACGTGTCAGCTAAACTATTCATAATATAGTTTCGGCACTGAAAATTTAAATGGTTTCAAGCATCAAGTGCACTGATTGCTTGAACATCTCCCTCACCTTCATTGAGTTTTGAAGCAGTCTCAGTTAAGAATCTCGCAAGATTTAAAGTGGTTAGATACTACATTTTGAAATTCAAGCCATTGAATTTCTATGATTTTTCTCCATGATTAACTGAAACATTAACAGTATGGCCAGTTGTTGGAGCCACAGTTTGACTCACAATATGATTTGGTAATTTAGCTACAGTCTGAGCCACAATAGAGTTTGGCCATTGAGCCACAGCTGAGCCCATTGCCTGATTTCTAGTAGGCACAGTTTGGGTCACATCCATGTTGGTCGATTCGATTGCCATTTCTGAAAATTAAACAAAAAAATTAGTTTCCAAAATTAACAATATAAGAACCAATTTTTTCTTTAGGAATCTTTTTTAAGTTTGTTGGAATATAGTGGTGTTAATGAACCGAATTGTCACATACCGTATATGTAATTTAGATATCGATTTTAAGCAAACTGTATATGCAATATACCGTACATGCAGCTTACTATATTTGCAGGTAGCTTACCGTATATGCAGCTTACCGTATTTGTAGCTTATCATATTTGCAGACAGCTTACTGTATTTGTAGCTTACCGTATATGCAGCCTACTGTGTTTACAGCTTACTATATATGATTTTAATCGTATTTGTACATATTTTCTTTACCCTTTTCATATATACCGTATCTTCACTTACACATGGAAATACCGTATATGTACTATACATATACCGAATTGCATTTACCAACTGTTAGCAAGAAAATTCGGATATATTTTTTTCTTTTTCTATTTTTAATTCTAACTTAAATATAAAACAAGTAAACTGCAAAATATATGAATCTAGTAAATTTCAAACGTGTAAATCGCTAAATAAATAAATAAATAATCGTAAGAATAAATTACAAATATGTAAATTGTAGAAGATAAATAAAATTTCAACTCGAGGTTGTGCGAGTACAATTTCCTTAAAACAGATTCGCTCCCTCACTGTAAGTACTTGAGAATTAATCCGAGTGTCTATTTCTCAGGATACAACGGTGACAGTAGAATCCGAGCACTGCAGAAACTACTCCGACGAACCGAGTTTGTATCGAACAATATCACCACCAAGACGATGCTGAAAATTCAATAAATTATGTATGCAGACAACACTAATTTGACAGATTTCGTGTGTATGCAGCATTCTCGTGATTAGAATTGCTGAAAAATGAGGCTTATATATATATATATAAGATTAAATCTGCCTATTAACTTCATAGCAATAAACACTGGAGTTACTTCAATTTTTGGGAGTTTTGGCAGTTTTTCGAAAACTCAAATGTTAATTGAAGAAAGGAAAAAGTTGTAAAATGTGGACAATCCAAACAGGCCAATTTTTGCTTCGTTTGGTCCAATATTCGTGTACGCAGGTTGCGTCCGCACACAAGTTCAAGGTTCGAAGGCAATTTTGGTCCATAATTTGCACCCTTCTTGCGCATGCACATGGAGAGAGCCTCTATGCTATACATGACTACATCATTCCAATGTGCACTCCTATATAAAGTGGTTAATATTTTCTTCATTTTCTTATGCGGGACTAGATTTATTTCCCACATAAACCATCTTTTAATGGTCATCTTTGAGCTCCAATTTCTCATTCATCCATTCATAAATTTTGGCAAATAAATATATAATTTTGATACTCTCACGGAGGAGAACAATGATCAACTTTGATCTTCCAAATTGGACCAACGAGTCCCACCGAAAATTTTGCCAAAAGTGAGTCATTTACTCATTTTTTCCAACAAATTATACACACAAACAAGTGTGTATATATAATAAAAATTTTTAATATTCAATATTATTAATATAATATACATTTAAAAATAAATAAATAATCAATATATTTAAATTTAATTATAAATTTGCCACATGAAATTTTATAATTTAATGAAAAATAAATAATCTTCACAAAAAATGAATGAGAAAGAAAAAAGATTATAAGAATTCAATTTAATTTTTTTTATAGAAAATAGAGATCACCAAATGAGAGAGAGATAAAGATAAATAGAAACAAATATAATCAGTAGAAAAATAAATAAATTCTAATCATACTTTAATATTTGTAGAAAGAAAAATGAGAGAGAAATGTTGAAGAAAGTACACATTATTATTATATATATATATATATATATATATATATTATTTATTTATTTATTATTATTTTTTCTATTTTTTGTAAGAGTCTCTCGAAATCTTATGACTAATGAGGGATAAATTTTGAAATTTTATATGATTACTTTCTATTTTAAAATTAGTACCCCAAAAATTTTTAAAAGTCTTAATTGAATACATTAATACTTTTAGTGAGTCTCAAATAGTCTACATTGAACATCCCTAAACTTTTTGAATCCTAAAATGTTATTAAAAGCCTCAATTGAATATATCCTCTAAGATTTCCTCATATCTCTTCCATTTATTTGTTGTAAACAATTTATGATTATTCTATATGTATATAATACTTTTGAATTGAAATTATATGCAATTGTTTCAAAAGGTAGAATTCCATGTAATTGATCTATTTTTTTGGTTAAGAACAATTTGTGTTCTTAGAAATTATGTTAATTACGTGGAAAAAAATTGGTTATGTTTTCTTAGAAATTGATGTAAAAAAATTCTTACTGTTTTATTTGCACCAAAATTGAATGATTGGGCCGTGACTAATCACTTTACCCAATAAAAATTTTGTAAGCATCATGGTTCTCGAAAATATTAATTAGGTGGTAAGAAATATTGTAATTTTGCATGTATATAATGAATACACAAGACGAAAAGTCTCCAAGAGTCTTTAAAAATATTTAATCAGAGTCTACAAATGTTCATAAAATACTTTTATTAATTCTTAATAAATTCATATAAGCCACTTAAAATCCATAAAAGTCACCCACTTAAAAAATGGGGAAATTTCATATATAAGAATTAAGTATGACTAATTTCAAAATTAAGAAACAAAGTTTAAAATTTCAAATATCAAATATTAACAAAATTTTATTTATGAAATAATTATTTAAAAATATATTTGAATAATTAAATATATTAAGTTCACAATTATATATAATTTGATTACAAATTATTTATTGTTGACAAAACAAAAAAAATTGTGGGTCATAAATTAAAATTTTTATAAATCACAATTTATTCATCGACTACAAATAAAAAATTTATAGATCACTATTTATTTGTTAAGTCGGAAGTCGTAAATTTTATAAATTACAACTTATTACACGATCACAAATTATAAAACTATTGATCACAAATTAACAAATTTTTAGTTCATACATCAACCAATTTATTGGTCACAAATTATATATTCTATTGTTCACATATTATTTATTGGTCATACATCAACTAAATTATTAATCATAATCAATCAAATAATTTGTTACCACCATCTCATCACTACCTTCAGTAGCACTACCACTAATACCACCACCATCATTGCCTCTCAAACAAACCAACACCCACCAACAAAAACCATCACTACTTTACGACCACCGCAAATGGCGGTGATGAAGACAAATAATTGACCACAACCACCATCAAGCATCACTGCAACACCACTACCGCCAACATCATCACCTTCTCACTACCACCACTATTGCCACCGATTTAGCCTTGCAACTGATGCCACCACCACAACAAGCCTTTAATCTCTATTACACCATAACCAATCCTCGCCCAAAAAATCCCTAAGGTCATCGTCGCCTGTGTAACCAATGATTCAGTCCTAAAACTCATCACACGCAAACAGAGAAACATGGATCGCATGCAAAATTAAGAAACACAGCGAAAGAGCACAGCTACGTGCTACCGATGCAAGAAACAACACCACCCCATTGCGTGGCCTCTCGAGATCGTCCCCGTCGCTGCATGCTACCACCGAGATTGTCGTCGTTGTGTGTTACCAACGAGAACGTCCTCATACACTTTGTGCTACCAACGTTGGCTAGCCTCTCAAGAGCGCCATTACTGTTGTGTGCTACCAACTAGAGCGTCGCCATCACTTTGTGCTACCAACGTTGCTTGGCCTCTTGCTGTGCGCTCGCCGTTGATATGCGACACTATTAGAGAGATAAAAGAGAAAGAGAGAAGGGAGAAAGATAGAATGTTATGAAAATATTTAGGGTTTGGAAGTGAGGTGGATTGGATGGGGTATGTTAATTAATTTAATTTTAAGATATTATTATTAAATATTTAGAATTTATATTAATATCTAATTTTTGAAGAAAAACTTGTAACTCTCATTATTTATTGAGATCTTGGAAATACTTAATCCATAAAATTTTCACCTAAAAAAATCTATAATTTTTTTTTAAAAGTCCAATTGAAAACACTCGTCACTCTCTTTTCACTTTGGGCCTCGTAGAAAGGCCATTTTAAATAATAACCCTTTTGCAAAATTCATCTTACACGGTGTTGTTACGGTACAGTGTTTGTTCTCCAATTACCATTCTATGCTAAAACATATAAATCGGTGAGATTTCTGTTTGTTTATGTATATTTATTTTCAATAATTGGCAAAGCGCCATGTTCCGAGAGAGAGCTAAACGGGTTTTACTGTCTTCGGCCGAAGAGGTATTGTTCTAATTATAATTACCTTTTTTCCCAATAATTTGTGGCCGATTATCTGGTTATTATTTTCTTGTTTTTGTTCAAGTTCCCTGGTTCATTATGAATTGCTATTTCTGTTAATCTGTTTGGAATGTGAGATTGAAATCCTCTTTTTCTGCGATTCCTTCTACTGTTTGCAGACCATTGAGAAGATTAAGAAAGCCGTAGATGAAGGCAATTACTATGGGGCTCAACAGATGTACAAATCTTTCAGTGCGAGGTACATACTATAAATATCATCATTCTTAGTTTCTATATGTTAATTCAGCCAAATTTTGCCTTGGCTTCTTTCAATTTTTGTGTAATATTTATTTATTTATTTATTTTTAATTCATGACAGATATATTGCCGCCGAGAGGTATTTGGACACCTTGAATATTCTGCAATCTGGCGCCTGCTTGCAATTAGAAAATGGACAGGTTAGACTGTTGACTCTCTTGCCATGCTCACTCTTTTCTGCAAAGCAAGGACTGTTGAGTCTAGGTTATAACTTGCAACTCAAAAACCACACGCAGAATTGAGAAACGGATGCATTATAATATATTATCCGGCAAATGTTTAGCAATGATTTATTTTAAATATTAGCATGGAAATTAGTGCAGATATCGATACTGATCTTTGCTTATAGATACTACCAGCATGGAACAATGAGTGGCAAATCCAAAATGATTTATCTTTCGAGTAATGCTATTCATACAGAGTCTAGATGATCATTGGTCTATAACCCCATTGCTACATTGTCCAATGTATAAAAATGCATTCCAACTTCTTTTGGTAATGTGGCTATGAACCACTGCTACAGAGATCAATAATGACTCTAGATGAATAGCATTATTCTTATTTTTCTTGGTTACCTGTGAAGTGTCATGACCTATTTTATGGAGGAAAAGGATTTTGCAGAGCATCTGATTATTTGTGGTTCCTCGTTCAAAGCATTGACTTATCACATTTACAACTATTTTCAGGTTACGTGTGGGGCTGAGCTTGCTGTCCTGTTTGTAGAAGCACTTGTTAAAGGAAAATTTCCTTATGATGATGATACTGTTGGTCAGTTCTTTCATTTAATTTTGTTCTTAACATTTTCTGCTCTAGTTCCTTTATTTTTGCTTTTATCATTCTTTCTATTTAGGATCTATGATGCATATGCTCTGAAGTTACGCAAGTACGTGCATTCATTTAGTTGTGATGGAATATTTAGCTCTTTTAAAACTATACTAGAAGTTGCATATCATTGGAGATGATTGTAGAATCTACTCTGTGATTCAATTTTCATTGTTAAATTGTTACACCCAGAGTGCTGACAATAGATTTTGTTTTGATCATCTATCAACCAAAATCTTAATAAAAATGAAATTGCAGATTTAACATCTTTCTTGAATAGAGTAGTCAGATTGATTCAATAGTAGGAGCTTAGCTGTTGCGCTTAACGACAAATTTTGGTGGAAAACTATTTTATTCGGTTTTCCTCTTATGAGGGAAAAAAATGGCCTTAAGAACAATCTCCTTGCCATTGAGGGCCAATAATTAAACAAGTTTCATTCCAAACCTTTCAGAACAACTACTTTGATATTCTCTACTATTTTCTAAGACCAAATTACCTTCTTACTAAAAAAGACCCCTTTTAAACTTTTTTGTTATATTTGATTAGTGTTAGATTGGAAGGAGACTTGAATTTTTTTCTCAAGTTAGTTGAAAATTAAAAAGAAATCCTTGGCCATGGTTCCGTTTTCTTTTGATAAATACAACAATAAGTTCTCACAAAAGTGAGGCTGGCTAATTCAGATGGCCAATTTAGTTAAGGTCTCGCTTGGCATATTCTTCTTTTCTATTCTAATTTTTGCAGTCAATTGCAAATAACAAAGATCTTAGAAATAAAACCCAGTCAAATAGAAAATATTTTGCTAACATCAAGCTAATGTAGACTATTGTAGCTAATGTCTCTAAGATTTAAGTCAAATGTGATGGAGATTTCATTCAACACTTGGCCAAAAACTACAAACTGAGATTGTGTCAAACAGGAAATGTATTTTGATTTCTTTTCTTACCTTAATTATACACTTGCGAAAGTTACCATTTGAAGAGAAAATTGTCAATTTTGAACACTTTGGATTGGCCTCTTTGCTAAATGGTAACTAAGATCAACTATTGTCAAACTAGCCACTTTTTTAAATTGCTTTCCCAGAATACTCTTTTAATCTTTGAGAAGAAAATTTTAAGAAAAGAAAAAAGGGTAAAGTATAAAATAATTGAAAGGAATAAGAAAAAGGAAACCAGAGATCGCTGATGCTGCAGCCACACTCACCTTCTTCACCTCCACGTATTATATGGCTTCTTTAAGATCTGATATGGTCTTTGACACAATTCTTGTTATATAGATTGCGTGACTCCTTTCTATTAATCTTTCATTGATAATTAATGATTTTTGTATTGATTTCTCTGAGATTAAGGGTTCATGTAACTTTAGTTTCAGTGGATGTACATAAACTTTCATTAATTGCATAGGCCAATACGCACATTAAATTACAAACATTCATTTAAAAATTTATGATTCTAAAAAGTTCCACATGTAGATCGTATCAGGAAAATCTACAAAAAGTTTCCTCGCATGCCAGTGCCACAACATCTGGACCTGGGTGATGATGATGACATACAACGACTCCAAGAAGCTCTTGGAGCTGCAAAAATGCGTGTAGAGGGTTGCTCATCTTTTTTGAAGGCTGCTATTAAGTGAGATATTCTTTTCCAGTTTCTCTCCTCTATTTATCCCCCTATTTTTCCATGGACTGTTTGTGTAAAATTTTCTTATATAATCTATGGACATGCTTGATTGTCAGCTACTTTACCTGTATTGTCAAGTAGGTTAGGACGTTAGGTTTTATGGTCAATGAAGAATCGATAGATTCAATGAGATAAATGTAGAAGCTAATATAACTCTAAATGACAAAACACAAAAGATCATCTTCTAAATTAATAATATTTAAGAAAAGTATAATATAGAGATTGAAAAAAGTAAAGTATTTGTTGCAAGTTTGTAGAAACAAGAACTGACCGTCAAGTTGAGCATCAATTGTTTTTTTCTTTCCTCCTGTTACTGAAGTAAAGCATTTTGAAAAAAAACTACATTAAAATGTGGCTTTTATTTTTATTTATTTTTTTATTTTTTCCCCCTCGATATTTAGCCTGTTTAGAAGAAAAATGATAAATCTGATTTGATTTTCTGAGGTAATATGGATCTTGCTTATCAGGATCATTTATTATATGCAATCTTATGAGAACAGGTTTTGTTTGGTCTTTGATTATGAAGTCTTAGATTTCAAGATCAGGATTTGGTTAAAAAAACACCTTGGTGCATAAAATTTACCTCTGTCCATGGTTTGAAAACTATGGAGCAAGATTATCAGATTAAACTAGCAAAAAAGGAGGTCGAGATGGAGTTAGGAGGTCATGGAAGTGACTGATTATGGTCAAGTCCATGCAAAATGAGGAAAGAGAATTGTGGTTTATTGGTACGGTATGGTAGAAATCAAGATGGGGTGAAAAACTGTGTAGATCACTAATGAAGAGTCACAATTTTTTGTCGAAGTCCTTGTTATGGTAGCATATGAGGGGTCGTGCAATAAGAAAGCTTAAAGATCTGGAAATTGGGTGCTAGTGTTACAGCTTTTTTGTTATTGATGCTTCTTGCATTATTTAGGCTAATTGGAATAATAAATCAACTCACGTTTTTCCTCAGGTGGTCTATTGAATATGGAGCACATAGGAATGGATCTCCTGAACTACATGATATGCTGGCTGATTATATATATTCGGAGTCTCCTGAGGTGGTATGTCCTTGAACAATTTGTGTGCTATTTGGGGATGAATCTACACTAGTGCTATTGGAGATCCTCGGTTCTTTAGTTTTTCTCTTCAGTCTATAGTTTATGCTAATAATTTGTAAAACCCTTAAATAATGCTTCTCCCCTTCCAAAATATGATAGAAGGGGAAAAACAAACACACCCAAAAAAATAAAAAATTAAGTGTCAATTCCCCGAAATGCTGGGTTAAGTATATCTTTCCTTCCTAACTGGCCCTTTTTTTTTTTCCCTGAATTTCTGGCTTTGCCTTGCTTCTCTTTATGTTGAGCCTTCTTCTCTCTTGTTAGTTTAGCCATATGTGCTACAAAACTGTTAGCTCCATTCTGGCCCCTTGATGGTGTCTTTCGTCAATGATAAGCTTGATATAAAAATTAAGGTATTATTTGAAAGTTTGCGGCAATGACATAAATACACTGTTGACTTGCTATCTTCTTACCAGAATAGTTAGTATTATGTTGCTTGGGGCCCATTTTGATGCAGACAATAACATATTGACTATCCGTAGTGTTTGTTGAATGCATTTTTATCAATTTTGTAATTGAATTGTGTTGAGGTTCTATGAAATGCTTTTCAATATAAAGTGTTATGTTGAGTTCTGGACTTTGTTGATTAACTTGTCCCCATCTGCTAATTTATAACAACTGACACTGTTTTGAACTATTTTCCACCTTGTCCGAGTCACATCATTTGAAGTCTCTATTTTTAGCGATTGTTTTACTTATTTCTAAGATGTCACCTTTGAAAGTATTATTATATTTTATAATGCTTTTATGATGGTATTCATGTTCTCAAAGAATGCAGTGCATAGCAATAGAGTGGCTTAAAAATATTTACAAATTACAAGCCAAGGAGCCTTGTTATTCAATTTAGTTTGATTATTAAATTTTAGGCAATTCTGAAAATTTATGTATTGTTACAGGAGATGACCAGAGTGTCATATCATTTTGTTCGAGGGAAGAATCCGAAGAAGTTTGCTTCAACTCTAGTGAATTTCATGGGCAAGGTTAGCCCTTCCACTTCTGATAACACCATGAGTATGACTGCTAAGAGTTCAGTGTTTCTATTGGAATCTGATAAAGTAAAACAGTGCATAGTTGTGAAGTTGCAAAATATAATTAACGGCACAAATATTGTTTAGATATCATCCACCTTTAACTTGAATTAATATACAATTTTAAACTTTCAGTGTTACCCAGGTGAAGATGATTTGGCCATTGCGCGGGCAGTTTTGATGTAAGTGTGGAATCTGAATACATGCAGCAACATTTGCAGTTGCTATTGGTGTTATACAATGTCCCTATATGTTCTTTTGATTCACCTTTCGAAATCAAGCATGCTTAGACCCATTGTCTAAACGCTCCTTCTCAGCTATTTTTCAGCTTCTTCCTAGTGTCAGAATTGAATATCTGGACTTGGAATTTGCTTCCTCTACCTTATGGGCCTCATTTCACTTGGTTTGCTAAGCGAGCGTATGTGGAAAGAGTGCCTTAATTATCCTCCGATCTCCAACCCATCCCACTGACAAAATGGGGGAAAAAAGAAGAAGAAGAAATAAAGATTAAAAAAGACATACTTTTTGCACGTTGATGAACTACTTGATGAACCAAATTGTCTGAACTTCGAGTTAGTTGGGTTATAATGAATATAATAGATTGTCCAGGGGCAGGCAGCATCCCCTGTTCAGTGCAGTCCAGCCATTTATTGATCAAATATAGGTGAGCTCATTCAAGAATCTTCTGGCAGTTGATATCCTGATGACTTGAGATTGAATTGTTTGCACAATGTTTTGATGCTTTGTAAAGCAAGCTAATCCTTATTCCTAGGGCTCGCTACAGAATCCTTTTTTGCCATTCATTTGGTTCATTGATTTATCTACTAGAAGGTCCAATGACGTTAAATCTTTCTCACCCACTATTGGCCATGCTAATTTTGGTTTATCACGTCCTCTTCTAATGTGTTCTACTAAGATCATATCAGTCTTTTGGAAGGGAGCTTTTTTTTCTTTTAATCTGCACAAGATATGCCTGTAGGCCCTACCTACCTAAGTTATACTCTTAACTGTTACACTAATGGCCACTTGGTCAAATAAATTAAAATCAAATCATACGTGGCACTATTTATTATGCCAAGTTAGCAAAATTGAGGAGTTAGGCGTTGGAGATTAAACACATTCAGATTAGGAAACAGCTTTTTTTTGGCTTAAATCATATAGTAAACCGACACTTTTTTGAAATGACGACTTTTATTGACCTAACATAATAAATAGTGTTGTTTAGTGGCATGTTGACACTTGAGTGTTGTTTAGTGGCATGTTGACACTTGAGTGTTGTTTAGTGGCATGTTGACACTTGAGTGTTGTTTAGTGGCATGTTGACACTTGAGTGTTGTTTAGTGGCATGTTGACACTTGAGTGTTGTTTAGTGGCATGTTGACACTTGAGTGTTGTTTAGTGGCATGTTGACACTTGAGTTATGTCTAGGCATCCATCTTAAAATATTCATTGCGCTTATTTTTCATCTTATGGAGATTTTGTTGGTTAGCACATGTTAGTGGTGTCCGGTGAAGGTTTCTTTTATGTTTTGCTTTAGATTGTGACGTTGGGAACTCCATCACAATTCCTACTGAATATTTTATATATAATATACAAGAGTACACTACTCTTTATACCTACATCCTAGGTAGAAATCAGAAATTAATTCTAGTAGGGAATCGGACTCTAGTACCAAGAACACAATTTTGAAAGGAATGTATGTTGCTGATGCCAGTATATGTTTATTTATATGCATACAATGCCAGAGCGAAATCATAGAACTGATTAGAGAAGTCTGGAAACTTCATAGAGAATAGGAAACTGCAAGAATTGCTCCATGAAATCTGGTCTCTATCTAACAACTTTTCTTCTGTTGTTTTTTAATGATCGTGAGTGTCTGGGCTAGCTTACATGCACCTCGACTAATTCCGAAAAAAAAAAAAAAAAAAAAAAAAAAAAAAAACGTAAAGAAATAATATAAGCTGTAGTCTAGCAGTTATTGTAAGGAGAGTCTAAGCCATCTTAACACTCACGCGATAGTTCTATTGGTATCAGGATTCAACTTAAAGTCTCTCTTGTGGGAAAGATCATGGGTTTGAATAATGGGGACGTACGTACTGTTCGATATGGGAGAGCCTAAGCCTATCTTAACCCTCATGGATTTCTAATTCATCCGTAGGATTCAAACGCATAACATTTCCCTTAAGAGAGATTTAAATTGAATAATTTATTTGTACTAGTAAGTTAATTAACCTCGAAACAGTGGATTATTTACGGAAACCTCTTATGCCGTCATTACAAACTCTATTTCATCTTTCATATGATGCAATTAATGTTTAAGCTTCCACCATGGTTGCTTGCTATTTTTATTGATCAACCTGGTTTGAAGTATTTATATGTTATGATTTTGAATGAGGGAAGTTTCGCATTTTGTCTATATAGGTACTTATCTCTTGGCAATCTGAGAGATGCTAATATCCTTATGGATGAAGTGAAGAAGCAAGTTCAATCTGGAGAAATTGATTTTCCTCGAACAGAATTGATGCAGCTGACTAATTATTTGCTACAGACGTAAGTTGCTTCTGTTTTGTTTCGCACCTTTATCTGATTACAGACCATTAGTTTTCTTATAAGTAAAATGTTGTAGACAGTAATTAGGGCCTGTAGCCATTGTCTTTCTTCTAGTTTTGGATAAATTGCCAAGTTCAGCGATGGGGCTGCTTTTTGAACTGAGCCCTTTATTCAACTTGTTTGTAGCGATTACTATTAATTGGAGATTAAAATGTTAGAATATTATAAATTGTATAGAATAAACTTGTGTTTCTATTACGAAGTAGATGGGGCTACAAGTAACTCTAAAAGGGAAAATTGTGTGATTATAAACTTGTGTTTCCATTACGAAGTAGACGGGGCTACAAGTAACTCTAAAAGGAAAAATTGTGTGATAATCACACAATTAACTATTAAGGAAAATAATCCCTCACAATTGGGAAAATATCATGGAGAATAATTTTTATAATCTTTCCATACTTGATTACCATTCAAAAAAAATAAAACATTCCCTCAAACTCAATATGGTATAGTGACGACCAAATTGAGTTTGAAAATTAAATCGATCCAATCAAATTGCCATTTTTCAAGGGTCGAAGGATACTTCAAAATTGCTTGCATACCAACAAGCCAAACAAAGAACTGGAAGTTGGTACAAAAGAACAATCATCATCCACCAATCTGTCTAACCATCACTAAAACTTGAATGAGACACCAACAAGTATAACGAACAACGTCAAAACAAGAATCTCAAACAGTTTTAATAAATAGATATGGCCAAAACAAGAATCTCAAACAGTTTTAATAACTAGATATGTCGAGGATATAGACCATGTTTAATGTAGCACTCTGAAAATTCATGGGCTGTATCAGTGCTCCACTCAAAGATGAAGGCGAACAAAACAGCCAAACAGGAAAGGCTCAACAAAATATTTGCCTGCCCGTTCAGTGGCCGACTTGGACATATTTATAATACTTCTTATTCAAAGAGTTCAATACTTCGGCAGAAAAGAGGAATGGAGACGAGTTTATTTTTCAATATTTGCTGATATTGACAGAGTACGTATCAAACAGAGGCTGCAAAACCTTCACTAGTATTGACCAGGCATAACCAAGAGAAAACTGAGTAGGAGAGACAAGCATTGGTGAAAAGAAAAGGGGCATGGGGAAATTAGATTAGAAATCGGAAAGTTCATGTTCAAATTTATATGATTAAAGAAACTGGAAAACAAATCTAATAGCAAACAAGAAGACTCACAAAAAGAAAGAGAGAACGAAACTTAGCCGGACGAGCAGCCTGAGGCTGCTCATCGGAGAACGGAAGCAATTGCAAATTCAACCAAGACTGGATTAAACTTTCTGTGGTACCATGTTAGAATACTATAAATTGTATATGATAAATTGTCACTATTACGAAGTAGAGGGGGTACAAGTAACTTCAAAAGGAAAGATTGTGCAATAATCACATAATTAACTATTAAGAAAAATAATCCCACAATTGGGAAAAATCAAGGAGATTAATTTTTATAATCTTTCCATATCTTCAACATAACCATGAAAGAAAATAGTCAGATTGTGCCATCTAAAATTTTAGCTCCACAGCTAATCAACCAAGTGTGGAAATGATAATACAATGCTATTCTTTCATCCTCCTGCCCTATGCATTTGTTCACCATCTATGCTGAGCTTCAATTTTCTTAGTTTCTGCTTTTACCTCTTTCCTGAAAGGGATAGGATTTCTGTAGTTGTAGACTTGTAGTTGTGTTGAGCCCTTATTTTGGTGGTAAAATTGGCGGTGGCTTTCAGAGATAGCTTTGCCACTGGAGTGGATCTTAGCTTTTCTATTACCTCGTCGGTTAATTTCATCACTATTTGATATTCTAATAGTTAACTCTTAGTTCTTTAATTGTCAAATGACTTCCAGTTTAGATAAATCTTTGCTTCAACTTGAATGAAGTTTGAGTTATGAAAAAAATACGGAAGCTTTATATATTCTCGGAAATTTGAAGGTTGGTTCTTAAGCCTGTTGACAACTTTCTTTGGGGGAGGGAGAGAGACCATGATACACCTGCAGTCTTTAACTTATGGATGATCCACTAAGCAATATGCAATCTCAAAACCTCCTTTTGCATGTCTATGCCAGTCCTAGTTGTCATGAATTACTCTTCTTTTCAGATTCATTACTTATCAAATTTCTCAAATCATATCATCAAAATAACTTGAAAGCATAAATTCTGAACCAGATCAGTTGCAAACCTACACACGTCTCTCGTGCCTTCAAAATCATAGGAGAAAGTGAATAACTGAATGAAATTAGTGACCCTTGCAGTAGAGAGGAGCACAGTTAGTGAAAATGCAATGACTGGACAATTAAGCCACCACAGTGTCAACTCAGGATCTTATAGTCTGTGGAACTGAACATGACAAGTGACAATCTAGGGTTGACACCTTTCCTCACCTAGCACCTACTTCAGTGGGGTCTACACTCTCATTTTATTACATCTCAAGACCACCACCCATGTCCCATATAACCTTCCAAGTACTTGGAGAGTGAAATGGCAACCTATGATGCTCGGACTCAGGTACGGGTATCGGATACTGGTACGTATCTAAGTGTCATATTTTTTATTTTTTAAAATCTAGGATACGGGGATATGACTAAAAAGAGTCAAAATTTCGAATACGGGTACGTGGGTACGTCTTTCAAGCTTCAATTTTTGTGCAAACACAAGATGTCTTACTGAATAGATTAAAAATAATTATTCACAAAGATGGAAATGATTATTGAATAAATGGTTGAGACGAATAAAACAGAATTTTGGGTTTAGTTTTCAATTATGAGAAGTTAATTACTAAATGTTTTATAAAATAAAAAATGAGGGACTTGATTGCAGTTTGGACCTAATGGAGCACTACATGGAACCTATTTTCATTTTATACAAACAAACCCTAAACCACTAATACAAAGAGGGAAAGAAAGGAGAAAAGGAAAAAGAAAAAAGAAAGAAGAAGAAAGAGGGAAAACCTAGCTCCGTCGCCTTTCTCCATCCTCTCGGAGGCGACACTAGGTTTCTAAAGAGAAAAGGAAAAGAAAATAAATAAGAAAGAAGAAGCAAAAAGGCGAAGTGTCCGGTTGAATCTCGAAGGATTCGACACATATTGCATACCTATGCACATGTTGTGTCGTATTCGACACGAGTACTCCGACCATTTCAAAGAGTCCGAGAATCAAAGATGGCAGCTAATCTCTATTAATCATAAGACCAGTGAAGCTGTTAAAAATGCAATCAACTATGAATATTAAGACATTATTTGCTCAAGAGTATATAGTTACTACATAACATTTTGCCATTATTGCATACTGCTTTAGATATTGTGGGTAATTGTTTCATGAAATAAATAAGCCTATGAGCTAAAATCTTGTCAATAAACAAGCTGTTTTCTATTCGAAAATTATACCAGATCTATTCTAGAATATAATTTGCAAGAAGAAAAAAGTGAACCCTTCTAAATCTATTTCTATATTTTATAAAGGTTGCAGAGAGATGCTTTGCCTCTTTTTAACATGTTGAGACAGAGATACAAGTCCACTATAGACAGAGAACCTGTATTTAATGAGGTATGGACTTTCTCTTCCTACACGGTATTCCACATTGTATGTTTTTGGACTGTACAGTTGAAAGTGCTCTTCTTGTCCTTTTCTCTCTTGCTCGAGGATAACTCGATCTTTTGTGGATAAGTGCCTTTCTTGATTGCTAAATAAATATTTATGTTAATGCCCTCCCTCGTGGTTTAGTTCCTAGATGAAATTGCAGAAAAGTTTTATGGAGTCCAGCGTAGAAATCCCATGCAAGGAATGTTTGGTGATATTTTCAAGGTAATTTCTGTTAAGATTCTAATGTGGCTTTCCAATCCCAATGTGAAGACAGCTACGTGAATAGAAAATATTGTGGATGTACATTGGATATTTGCTCTTGCCACATCACAAAATGTTTCTGTTGCCATATTCATTTTCATTTTTCCAAAACGATCTATTAAGAGAAATTGTCATTTGCTGCTTGCAGATGATGGCAGGATAAAAGATCTTTTAGTCAACCAGGTTGTTGCCAGATTTCCTGCATTGATAAAATCTCTCGCCTTTGTTGTTAAAATTTGTGTTTTAAGCTTTGAACCAGGTTACATTATATCAATATTTGATTTTTCTCGACTTCATAAATTATGTACGCTCTTCAGTCTTTTAGATAACATATGTTTTGAAGGGCATATCTATTCTTCCAAGAAACTTTTGAACGATAAGTGGAATTTTCTAAGTTTTGTAATCGAAGTTTGGTGTATTTTTCACAGTATTTACAACTTCAAACTATAAATCTTTTAGTACAAAGAATATGTTTGCTTCTGCTTGTTCGGCAGCCTCAGTTCATCTTTGTTTTACACTTATGGCGGGAGTTCTGTTGTCTACACAGCCAAAAAGTTACTTGGCAGAATTTTGCTCCTTGTCATTCCCTTTATTTGCTGCTTCTGGTATTTACCATGAAAGACGGGTCTCAAGTTTCATTCGTGTCATCCCTAAATATTCAGCTACATGAAGCACAAATGCTTGAGCAACAAAATCAGCAGTGAAATTACTCAATTTCAGCATCATGTCTATGTCAGCCTTGTGATTCGACTAGGCACAGGGATATTTCATCCGTTTGTGAATATAGATACAGAAATCAGATGGTTCTTGTCTTCCTTCTTGTTATTTCTTCAGCTTTTCCGGTGTAAAAAACAGCCTAGGCCCTCCTTGATTGCAAAAGCTCTGCATACAGAAAAAGCAATGAAAATCACGAGTGAACAAGCAGGTTTATATATGTTTGAAAATGCTATAAAATGCATTGGATGTCTAGTTCGAGGCCTTTGTCCACTTGGAAATCAAAATACACTGCATTCTGTAATAGAATTATATTGAGTTTATAAAATGATCTAAACATGTCTTGAGATCGGCATCTTGATATGCTGTAGATGACAACAAAATTCTGAGAATAAAAATACTGATAAACTAATTCTAACACTACGTCAATATTCTAGGCCAACCCTATGTTGCCTACGTCTCTATTCAGGAGAATGTACCATTTCAACATGATATGTCGCAACGAGGATATATGCTCGAGTTCCGTTTTGGAACCTTTAAACCAGAAGAGGATCATGTAGCGGCAGTGACGCCCCAAAAATTTTATAGAATAAAACTATTTGTTTCACTTGCTATATTTTGCAACTTTGGAAAGTTGATGCGCTAGGGTAAAATAGTATTGATTCAATTTTATTTGTGTTAAATATTTATAATTCAATAGGACGAAAATAAATATATCAATATTGGGCTCTTTGGATAGCTCGTAACTTATCATGTATATTAAGCTCGAGAAAAAGTTAATTCGAATAAGTGAAACTTAAGTTATTAAATTTTAAAAAAAAATTGTCAATAAATATTATTTTATTATTTTTGTTTTTTATTTGTGAAGTGGGCAACCACGTGGAGTTAAAATTAGTTGTTTAATTTGTATTGGATAAAAGTTTTGGATAAATTGGACTTTTACTTTCTATAGGACACTTGTCCTATATTTATTCATTCCAATTGATTTTTCCATAGAAAAAAGTCAGATTTTCTTTCAACATATAATATAATTTTATATAGGCAGAAGCAGGCCGAAAATAAATTTGAAACGTGAATTTTGGTTTTGTTTCTCCAAAAATTTATTTGATCTGACGAGTTAAAATGACGTGGTGCAGTTACTTTTATCCCGTTTAAATTATTTTTTCATGTTGTTGAATTATTATACTTATAAAAGTTAAAAATATGATATGATACGTATGATATGGACATCCGATATCAAAGATATGATGACGGTATTTAAATATTTTATTCAGGATTGCACCATTATTTTCGTGTCCTATTGAATATTCCTATGCACTCACTTTTTTTCCCTACTCCGCATGTATTAGAATGGATTGTTGGTTGGCGGGTGATAAGATGCAGTCGTGGCCATAACTCATGGAACTCAATAAAAATAATCCGGTGTAACGTGACTATGGATTTTATTTTCACCATTATTTTGATTTTATTATCATGTGGACTTTGTTATTTAAGATTTGGAACATGTTTTAATTGGTTATGTTTTTTATATATTTTATTTAATATTGGCTGAACCAAAATTTAATGTGGTAAAATTTTATTTATTTATGATATGAATAAGATATGGTGTATGAAAATCCTTGTTCTTTCTTTTTTTATAAATGAATATATAAAATTTTCTACATGAATTTGAGTAAATTACCATTGCGTAATTTTATACATATTGCATGTTATGTTATTTAAATTTTAAATGAAAAATTTGGTAACGATTTAAATATTAAAATTTTGGATCGTTACAGATCATTCATATAATTTTCATTTTTCGTTATTTTCGTATTGAATTTAAAATGGTTTCTTAAAAAAAATAAGACCCGTGTTTAAATCTTGAATCATTTTTAGTCGTATCGCCATTTCTCAATTTTAGAAAAAAGGAAACGGGTCGGATTGGTAAATATATAATCATATCAGGCTTCCACACCCGAGTCCTTGCAACACAACACAGGCCCAACCTTAGGTCGAATTGCATTGAATTATATAACTCAAAGATTGAAATTGACTAGAATTAACTTCCCTTTCCCTTTCCCTCCTTGTCTAAATTTAAAATTTACAGTCAAAAATTTAATTTTAAAACCCCCCCCCCCCCCCCGTGGGCGGAAGGAAGAGTAGACTGTCATTGTCTAAATTTAAATCATTCGTGTAGAAATACGTTGTAAAAGAATAAAATGCTAATACCTGCAAGCAAGATTGATGGATTCTTTGTCTAAAAGGCCAACTGGATGGCCTCCATAATCCTCATGCTCCAAGATAACTGGTAGTTGACTAATACCATGTCTATCCATCAGAGCATGAGCAGCACCAAGGCTCATGTTTGGAGTTACCGTATCTGATATACGACACCTCTCGCTATTAGAGGAGCATAGCTCAGACACATTAAGCTCCTGTAATCCAAAATTTCAAACATCTAACTATCATTTTCAGGGTTACCAATCAAGATGCTGAATATTTATACGATGCGCAAGAAACTGAAATCCTATTGAAACTTGTTTTCTATCAGTTCATGACACATGTTTATGCCATAACAAAATTAGCATCCTTCTCTGTTCTTCCAAATTTCTCTCTTTTTAATCTTGCAACTTTCTTCCTTCGTCATCATGTCCTCTTTGCTATAAGATCTATTTGAGTTACAGGAAATCCAAATAGCTAAAATACTTTGGAAAACCATGCATAGTGAAAATGTATCAGTAGGTCTAGTTCCTGAGGGTGTTGGATAAGGTTTCAGTGCCCTCACTCGATCAATATTTCATGGCATGCTTTATTTTTTTACTTTTATCTCCATAACGTTGAATGCTTGACGTATTTTATGTCCATTATATGACATCTTACCCCAAATTTCTTTGTTAACACTTAGTTTAAGAATAAAAAACAAAATATTATTAGTTAAAGAATCTACCTGAGGTCTCCCACTTTTTGCTCTTGAAAATTCAGTGAAACGCTGAATGTCACCGAGCGTTAGTTGACCAATGAGGTGGTTGCTGTCATCAACTATTATCGCACAAGACTGCTTCTCTTCTAGCATGAGAGACACTGCTTCTGTTAGAGAAGTGCTCATCATCACTGCAACATATCGTGTTCTCATGGCTTGTGAAACCAGAATTTCATTTGCCAAGTTACCATCATCATCATCAGAATCATCATTCAGACAGAGTGAACTCTCAAGTTCACAAATGCTACTTTCCTTTGATTCTCTTAGATCAGGAGAAGAAACAGAGGTCCGGACTCTTAATTTATAGGAATATGTTTCACCCGGAGTTGCTATATTGTTTCCTTCTTTCGATTCTTTGGTATTATCAATTTCTTTCCGTACTGTCTTCCCAGATGTAATCCATGATGAAATACCCACAGATCCTAAAAGCGGCAGAACAATTCGATAATCCTGTGTTAGTTCAAAGAGAAGTAAAACTGCAGTAAGGGGTACCTGGCACACCCCAGCAAGTGTAGCAGCCATGCCAACCTGTGAGGAAATCCTCTAAGAATAAACTATAGCCCATATACAGTCTTCTGATGAAATAAAATAAAATAATTGGAAGTTAAAGCGTGTGCATGCCCATGTCAAATGAACTTTTCATTAATATAACATCCAACAAGACTTGATGGAGTATAAATCTACTTTTATTCTGCAGGTTAACCACTTGATTTCTATTTCTGCATATAACTACCTGCTACTAGTGGCAACTTATGAATTTGGAAATAATTGATAAGATATATAATCCATCCAACACAGATAGATAGCAGAAATGGGGCTCCGGATAAAAAATAAAATAAAATCCCAGGAGCTTGTGCAACAGGAATAACATCAATTTCAGTAATAAGACGCAACAGATAGCACGAGCGTGGTGTTTGACAATATATTTAAATCGAGTAAAAGTCTACTTTATAATTGACCTTCAAACATATAAAAAGCTGAAAAGCTGTGAGTGCTGCGAGAATGGCTTCTTACTGTGAATAACCATTTTCAAACCATATTGAAAAGGGAGGGAGGGGAAATATAGTAGTACTCAGTAGTTTCAACCCATATTGAAAACTTTTCAGCCTTTTGTCTGGCACTGATGATTACAATTGTCAAATGTTAGGCACGAGATACAATCTAGCTGCCCTTCATCAATTACCAGTGATCTACAATAATTCTTTACTCTCACTGGACTGTTAGCAGATATTATCTAATCATTAAAATCAAAAGATTTCATGCGAGCGATTATTTCTAGTATGAATCCGGAATATGAACCATTAAAGAAAAAAACTATTGAATTGATCACAGGAGAGACCACTAGCGTGCAATATTTTCATGACTTGCATAATCACAAATATGTTACCCCTTGGATTCCATTACTACGCAGTTTCATAATAGACAATGCTAAAGCACCAGAATGGAGCCAAAAATATAATATAGTAGGGCCTTGAGTCAACTAAAATAATAAATATAATACAATTTAGCAATACAACTAATTAAAAAGAGTATAGCAGAAACCACTCTAGCAATAGCAACCGGAAGAATTAAACAAGCAAAAAAATAAGAAATATCTGAATAAGAAGAATTAAACAAGCAAAAAAATAAGAAATATCTTAATAAGAACTTTAGAAATTACTACATGATAGTCCCAATTCTATAGAGTCTATTCATGAAAAATGATTTTCTTAAAAAGCTAGTTAAAAGGATGAATGCATAACAATCTAGTGGGGGCAGTTGCCTCCACTCACCCCATTATGCTGTATCCTAGGCAAAGGCATCTGTGAGTGATTGTTGTTGCCCGCTTCTATAGGTTTGGTTAAGTGCTTGATAGTTAAGAACTAAAACAATTTAAAAAAGAGTACAGATGATGACACAAGCATGAAGAGTACAGATTGCATCTACAGAGCAGAAAAAAGATGATTACTGTCCAGATACCCAATTATATTCGTAGCATTAAAAATCTGACATAGAACTTCAAGTAAGAACAAATAAAAGCCAGTCTTAACCTTGCAAAAAGTTATCATCTTAGTCATTTCTTACAGTTATTGGTCCATACCAGGCCATATGCTTGAGGTGAAGCTACTTCCAATATGGAGAGATGAAATATCGGATCGGAGTGAGATATCACATAACTAACGATTTTCCCATATGCCATTCCCGTAGCAGCACCAATAAACAGAGATGGTGCGTAGTAGCCTCCTACTAATCCAGATGCCCTACACAATGAAGTAGCTAATATTTTGACAGCCACCAGCTGAAGCAACAGATCAGCAGAGAGGCCTTTCATAGATGGGCGAGATTCTAACAGAATATCAACATTCTGAAATCCCCAGTAAAGAATTTCAGGATATGCCAAGGCTATAAGTCCAACAGCCAAACCGCCAAGTATAGGAAGTGCTGCTTTTGGTATCCCAACAACCCTTTTAACATCATCGATGAATACCAGCATAAATGCTGTGCACTTAGATAAGGTGACTGAAACCAAGCCACAAAATACTCCCAGCAGAAGATACAGCGGCAGTTCTGAACTGACAAGAAAAAGATTAAAGCCTAATATCTTTATCTCTGAAAAGAAAGCTCCCGAGAAGCCCCAATTATACTAATAAATATATTAACTCTGAAAATTTGGATAGTCATACATAAATGACAAAAAGAAGACAGTGATCACCTAATGAGAAATTGAGAATAGACAGATATTAAATAAATTGCTAGAAATCAAATTAACTTCAGATAACCATAAGAAAAGAGAATTATAGATAATCATGTCTACTCAAGAATGATATCCAGTAACCAGTGAGCAACACTGTGGACTTTCTAACAATTGGTGATTACCACTAGGAGAACTAAAATCATAATGCTAGAGAACAAAGGCATACAAAATCTATTAGAATGACCATTAAACTAGCATGAAGATTTCTTTAAAGTTTAAAATGTTTAAGAGGATGAAGAAAGAACCATATCAGCTCTCTTAGAGAATACATGACCTCCTAAACTAGTAAGCCGATAAGGCTTTTTACTCATTGTATGGAGTTTGGGACATATAATTTCAAATCCAGGAATGGAAATATCAAACAATTGGAATCGTGCTTTTCCAATGGGTTTTTGAGATAATCCTTTTGAAAGTGTTATGTATGGGCAATTAAATTATCACTGCCTGAAGCAATTTGTATGTGCTTCTATAAAACATCAATGCCCTCTAATGTGAACTGATAAATAACTAAAAGAAGTTGATAAAAACAATACCACTAGGAGAACGAAAATCATATAGTGGAACTGCAAAGGCTGGTTCAGAGCCCAAGCCAATTTCCGATAAGACAGAAGCTATTACAGCACTGAGAATGACCATGGAAGTTGTATTCGTCAAAGACAGGGATGATTCTGCAGGTGATGGCCACAAAACTGACTCCACGGCAAAAAAGCAACCCGCAACAGCAGCATTGAACCCTTTAGCAGAATGAAAACATGTTACTAAGAATTAATATTGAATCTGAGAACAACATGGAGAGAGCTAAGAGTGAATGTAATGTAACAAACCCAAGCAGTTTAGTTTATTTTGAATGTAAAGGAAATCGAGCATGCCTATATTCCTTGCTTTAAAATAGGAAGTGCCAAACTCACTAAATGGATAGCCATCAATCCCTGGAAAAAATCAGTATGAGTATGCTAGGGAAGGGTAAAGATCTTGGCTAAGATGGCACCAACCAGGTATAGATAAAGTACATCTGAATGTCTTTCCATTTATAAGTGGAAGTACTATGCAAATGCATCTTCAATCCCGTGTATTTCCTCCATGCATTTGTATGTAGAGAACGTGCAACATTGAGTTTCCACTACAGAAGGGACAAAAACTATAAATTGGCAAAGAAAGTACTTGAGTTGGTTTTCATGCTCATGCTGTCAAAGTCTTTTACAACAGAAACAATTTACAGGATATTTATAAACAATTTTTAAGTTAAATTAAAAACATTTTGTCTGCTTGCTAACCATTAGCCATATTTGAAGTTCAAAACAAAGCATGATTAATATATCCAATTCCAAATATTTCTGTTTCTGTGGCCCTAATATTTCTTGACACTCTTTGAATAGAAAGCATAAGTCATACATGTTTATCAATCAGAAAATCATTTTACTTGCATTTTAGCCCTTGTTTGATTTCCATTTTGGTGGAAATAATGTATTTTGAATAGTAGATAGATGGAGAATATATGGTTAAAAATTAAAGAAAAGTTTGGATTTCCGTGTAATATTATTTTATTGAAGAATGTGTGGTTGAAAATAAGTTTTGAAAAAATAAATTTTTAGAAGAATGAGAATCAAACAGTTGGTTAGTATTTCTTGTTTAATTTTCTCACACAGTATAAATCTTCAACAGCAAAAGCTAGTTTCAAGTAAGTTTTTAGGTGAGCAGGTTCAATATGATATTACAACCACAAAAAAGATTTAGGTCCAAGTCGTGCCATCACCCATTGATGAAAAATGGTCATTTGTCAAGCTTTTGATAATTATATGAATATGGCCACATGAAGTGAGTTGAAGACTAAATTTAAACAAATAAAAATGTCACCTATTTAACAACTAAGCTTTCAGATGATATGGTCAGCAAAAAGGATTAGCAATTTAGACTTATGCGCTATAAATTTGATCACGTGGAAAGGTATTTTGGAAGAAAATATTACATAGCTAATCCAGTTCATTGGAACAATCTATAGTTTTATGGCCTAGTTAGCTAATGTACTTTCTACAATTTTGTAAATCCTTTCTATATCTCAATCTCCTAACAAGATAATTCCACTATTTGATGGTACAAACTTGCAGACTTACATAGTTACCTAGTCAACTTGAATTTTTCCCTTTAAAGAATTTCTAAATGCAAAAAGTTACAGGATCCAAGGAAATTTAAAATGAAAACACACATGGAGCATCCAGAGACTGTCAATAAACAGAAAAGTATGGATATAATACGTAATTATGACAAAATAAGACAAACCAGAAGAGAGTCCGGCAGCTGACCCTGCAGCCCTGAGTGAGAGCTTTCTTTGAGCACCTTTATCAAGCACAGCACCTATCCCTTTGGCAATGGAGACGCCTATTTCAACACTTGGGCCCTCTGGTCCCAACGAATTCCCTGTTCCTAAAGTGACACAGGCAGCCACCGTCTTCAGAATTGGCTTTAGTGCAGATTTGATATAGGGTACAACAATTCCATCTGTTGGGCTCTCTATAGCAGCTCGAATCGTGTTCAATAAACTAACTATCAAACCTCCAGAAGCTGGAACTAACATTACTCGGGCCCATTTTGCTTCAATTGGTTCCTCCCTCAACCATGAAGCACCTTGATATGTGATACCATCCCAACAGAAGTCACGTATTTCATGCACCTAATAAGTAAAGCTTTTTGTTATCTAAAGCTAGTAGTAAACTTGATCAATGCAAAAAAATTAAGGTTGGAGACTCATTCATAAGAAAGCTTGCAATTCCATACAGACACCAATTATAACACAGATTAAATAAACCGTACAGGTTCCTATTATTTGACAACCAACAAACAGTACATAACAGCACAATTACACAGAAATTTTTTATGAAAGAACCTCACATGAGATCCATGGATTTGAGCTCTAGAATATGTACAAAGAGTAGGGCACAAAAATGACCAGCTACTGCGATAGGGGTAGAAAATTATGCACAAGCAATCACATTCAGCTTCAGGATAAAGAAAACGACTGGTGGAAATTGAATCAGAATCCTTGTTTCTCATTGCAGATATGGCTCAAGGAATTATATAAAGAACTTTTCCATGAAAACCAACTTTTCTGGGGGTCAGTTTACATGTCACGAGTCCAAAAGGGTGACATGATAAACACGCAGATTTCACCAATTCCATCAACCATTTCTATTGTGAATTATAAAGGAAACATTTTTTTAAAGAGGTAATAGTGGTCCCATGTATCGCTAAAGAGTTATACTAGTATTGTTCTTAAGCAGAAAACATGTAATTAACAATGCCTAGTTTATTAATCTCATCTCAACATGTCAGATTCCATTTTTCACTATGATTTTAGCTTGTTCAATGAACTTAAATTTTCTATTGCACTACACTCAGGGTAATCTACTCTTACAACCACAAACTACTGGATGTTATGCAATTGATAAGTGCCTACTTCCTTGAAGACGATCGTCAATCTAAATAATATCATATCTTAATGGAAGGCTATAAGGCGATTTATTGAACAGTGTTGCTCCTCCATTTGAAGATTCTGTGCAAATAAGGAATATAGACAACGCTAGTACTGGATTATTACATATATGGCTAAAGCAGACTTCGTAATCAAATAAATGATGTACAAACACACGTATCCTACATCACAATATCCACAGTAGGTTTGGTAATATATTGTTAACAATAAATTAAGATACATTGAAGGTTATTCTAATATAAAATGTAAACCTAAGCTAAAGTTTTCATAAATTATAACAATCTCATCTCTTAATTTATCATTCACAGGTTAGTAAAACCAAATTGTGAAGAAATGAAAAGCAGGTCGCACCGCGTAATTGAAGAGCACCACACTGATACCAGTGAAGAGACCAACAAAGCAAGCAGATACAATCGGCGTGTTGCCTTGTGGGATCAATTCTTTTATAACGGCAGCAACTCCTCCTGTACTCGTTTCATCAGCATAATCACCATAATCATCGCCAGGATCGTCCGGGCCAATTCCGCTCTTGAAATCATTATAACAAGGACGATAAAATGGGTTTACAATCACAGATTGGCGACGACACTGGAAGCTCGACTGTGAAGAAAGCGAGAGCAAAGAGGATGATTTGTAATAAGAAAAAGTCGGAGAAAATAATGAAGGGTAGGAAGGGTGCAAAACGAGCTTGGAAAGCCGAAAACACATTGAAGCAAATTGTAAGTTCGATTGATAATAAAGAATAGTCTTTTCTTGATTATCAATCAAACCCACTTAGATGTCAATCGTAATTCGCAGTAAGCATGTTGAGAATATCGAGTAGGTGAAGGTACACAACAATGGTGGTGAGTGATTGAGAGAACTTTTCTTATCCAAATCATGCAACAAAAATGCCGTGGCTTATTCTTGCGCATGGGACATCAGTTGGAAGTTTGCCAGCCACGTGTCTTGAGTGTGTTTTTCTCACTCGATCTAAACCCTTCAAATATATTTTATATTCACCCATTTTATAAGTTGCACAACTTACTACACTCTTATATCCATGCATTTGATAGAATCGAGATTTATAATTATTTTGTTTACTGCTTTCAAGCCGTTTTCAATTTTCAATTTTGGATATTGAAAATGTGATTAATCTATTATTTTTGAAAGTATATTTTCGAAAATAAGGATAAATTTATAACATAAAATTCAAAAATCATTTTTGACATTTTGAGTATTTTCAATGAAAATTTTGAAAACAAGAAATGAGCGTTTAAATCCAATTTTATTTAAATAAAATTTTAAAAAATAAAATTTTTAAAAATAGAAATATAAAATTCTAACAAATGAAATTTAAACATAATAAAAAATTTAAAATTCAAAATTTAAACTCAAAAAATAAAATTAATAAATTCTAAAAAATAAAATTCTAAAAATAAAGATTATAAAAATTTTAGAAATATAAAAAATAAAAATAGTTAAAGTTCTTAATGATTATTTACATAACAAAAATTAAAAATATTTAAGTGAACATAGACAAAAATATTATAAGTCCACGCATTAGTTTTTATTTTTATTTTCTATATTTTGAAATTAATTTTTTATCATTATTAATTTAGTTTTTTAGTAAGAAAAATATTATAAAATTCAACAACTTTAAGATGTACATAATACTTGATAATATATTAATGTAAAATTGTTCTTTTTTTTATTGAATAATCGGAATAAAATACAATTAAACAAAATTTCAAATATTCAAATCAAACATATTTTCTATTTTTCTTTTTTTATAAATTATTTTTTAAAATGACAAACTAAATGCCCTTTAGAAATCTTAAAATAAACTCTCAAAACAAAAAAAACAAAAAAATGAAAAACAAAAAATGAAAATTGAAAATCGAAACACAAATCAAATTGACCCTTATATTTTAATTTAAGTACTCCCAAGCCTACCATCTTCAACCTTTAAAGCCCCTAAGGACGTTTCTAGTTGTCCCCCAGCCAGCCCTTGACAATCCACTCTCACCGCCAAAGTAGCACAAGCAATCCCTCGATAGTTGACGAGTTCAAGATTGAGAACCCATACCCCAGCCCTTGAAACATATTAGGGGTGATATTGGGTGGTTTGGTCTAAGTTTCTTGAGAATCGGACTAAGCTGACAATGATGGAAAAAAAAAATGGAATCGGGTGGTATCAATGACAATTGAAAAATATATGGAAAATTTTTATGGCATCGGAGTTATTTAGGGCCCGTTTGTCACGATTTCTACCTAGAAGAGATTCTTGAAAAAAACTTCCTTAAAAGGTATTTAAAAATCAAATTCTAAAAGAGTTTTCTCTTCCGAAAAAGTTTTTAGAAAAAACCACATTCGTCAAATGGATCCAAAACAGTTTTTGAGTTTCAAAATCTCATTTTAATTTCATATCAAATGGGACCTTAACATCTTTTAAGATCTTGATTTAAAGAAATATTGCTATACTTCTTAATTTACTACTTTTAATTTAAGAATACCGTGTAAAAATTACATGAAACATCAATTGCATTGTGATGCCAACAAAGCAATTTTTTAGTTGGACCTTGGCCCTTGACGAGCTGAATTATCCTTTTTAGTTTTGGAAATGGATATTTAAGTCACGGGTCATTAAAATTTTGAGTAACCACATTAATAGTCACAATATTTTCTTACAATACTGTTACTACATTTTTCAACTATTTATGACACAAAGTCATCCCATCAAAATAATGAACATTAAATTTTTATGTAGCACCATTAAGTGTCAACTTGTCACCATGGGTTGTCATATATACGACAAAGTTAGCAAATTTGGAGAGTCGAAAATTGAGGATGAAACACGGTTGGTTGAGAAAACTTGATGCAATTTTAGTTTTGATCATACTTTTGAGCTTAAATCGCATAATAAACCCATGCTTTTTTAAACAATTTTTGCTAACTTGGTGTTATAAGTAACATTATTTGGTGACAAATTTACATTTAATGGTGTCAGGTAAAATTTAATATTAATTTTTGTTTTCAAGTGTTCATTGTTGTAATAGTTAATAATCTAAGTGACATAATTAACTCGTTTTGAAAATGATTCGGTTGATAATTATTTATCACAATAACTACATGTTACGGGCCTTCTTCAAAGTGTTTTCTTATTGGTTTTGGGTGACACTGTTTATAAGGGATTAGAAAACTCGGTGCTTGGTAGTCGTTTTAGACACAGATTTTTGATGATTTAAAAATCGTCGAAAGTGGATATACTATAAGTTTGATCAGTTCTCTCACTCCGCCAAATCGACGAGTTTTGACCGTTTCTCGTATTCTTTTCTAATTTTGGCCATTTTGTCAATAAAAATATACTAACCTAAGGCGTATCAGTGGTTTATTTTCAAAAGGACTTTACTTTGGCAGTAGCTTTTAGACAGCTAAAGCTAAGCGACTGATCACACCTACACCATTGAGATAGCTCTTAATTGTCTTTTAACCCTTATTCTCTATACAGCTTTTCTTAGGAGAATTCCTTCATTGCACTCACTTAATGATACCTACAAACTGACTCATAGGAAACTTGTCAAGTAGGTCTTTCGAGCCTTTTTTACAAACTATATTCTTATAGAAACGCAACCCCCAGTCACTCGCCAACCCAGATCAAATATCTTTCCGCTCCTTTTTTTTTTTTTTAAGGGTTACAGTCAAGCTCATTACGATCAACAAATTAGTTTAATTTTGACCAAAATATTTTAATTGAAAATAATTATTTGATAAAGGATAAAATTAAAAGTGAATATGAGAAATGACCAAAAATCGACAATTTGGTGGATTGAGAGAACCGATCAAAATTACATTACATTAATTTTGGGTAATTTTCAAACCATCCAATTTGGGGTCCAAAAAATTAGTAAGCACATTTTTTTTCAACCTCTCATAAACGGAGGCACCAAATCGAATGAAAATCAATTGAGATTGTTTACTCGAGTTAAATTATCTTAATAATCATCCAATTTATACCATGGTCATGTCTTACTCACTAAAATTCAAAGTATTTCATGGTTCTCACTAAACTTTGTTCGTTTGCACCCCATCCATCGTCCCAAAATTCTGTTACCTTATTTGTTGACTTGGTTAAAGGAAATCTAACATGGCAAGTTACTGTCGTTAAAAAAAATTACAACTCAATCAAACCATTGTTTTATTCTTATCGAACTTATACTTGGTCACATTTTATTCATTAAACGTGAAAATGCTTTCCAATGATGATTCATGTTTAAGATGTTGCACTCCATTCATCATCCACCATATTTTGCTCCCTTCATTGCCAATGTTTGCACGGAAATTCCATGTGATAAGTCACAAATATTAAAAAAATTACAACTCAACCAAATTATCAACTCACCAAAATTATTTTATGTGAAACATGACTTCCACAGCCCATTAATTTCTTTAAAACCCAATAAAGTATTCTCAATGATTCTTTTAGAAATATCACTTTTTCAATTCGAATATTTACTGTGTGAAAAATAAGTTTCAATTTGAGGCTGAAAATTTGAAACATAACATGTTCGGCTGAAAATTGATTTGTGAAAATACTTTGCATATATTTCATCTCATTTGACTTCTAAATCTTAATTGTATTCAATTGATCATATGTGATCTTCAATCATCATTTTGTATGTTCGAATCAACTGTTGAATATTTGCACACTTTAGATTTCTTGCAATTTCACCCATTTCACATTCATTGATTACAATTCTGCCAATTTATCGATCTTTACCTAACAAATACAATATACATAGAATTAAGTCATAATTCATTAAAATATCCAACAAATACTATGATTTGAAGACTTAAATAAGAGTACAAAATGTACTTATCACTATGATTTTTTATGGCTGAAATTGGAGATGCATTATTGAATTTTAAAGAAGTTTATGAGGGGCGTGGAAGTCACATTATATATATGGTGATTTTTATAAGTTGATGGTTTAGTTAATTTGTAATTTTATAACAATTGTAATTTATCCGTGCGATTTTCATACAATAAATTAGCAACGAAGTGAACGAAATATGACGAATGATGAATGGAGTACAACATTTCAAAAATAAGTGACCATTTGAAAAGTATTTGAAGTTTAATGAAAGTTGGATGAGTGAAGAAACAATTTTTTCATTGAGTTGTAATTTTTTTAACAATAACTTTTCTTATCAGATTTTCGTTAGCTATGTCAGTGAATAAAGAAACAGATTTTGATGGTGATGAATAGAGTACAGAAAGACAAAGTTGAATGAGTATCATGAAAGATGTTGAAATTCATTGAGTAAATCGTGACCCATAAGTTGGGTGATCAGCGAAACAATTTACTCCTGTTTTCTCATTTTTGTATCCATATGTTTTTACATTATTTTATTTATTATTATAAATACTCATCTCCCCCGGCCCACCGGCCCCCGCCTTGCAACAGTCAAAGCCGCCCCAGAAATTGTCAGTGTAGAGACCTATTTCCATTTCAATAGAATCGAACAATTGCCTTATAAGGTTAGGAATGTTTCCTAGAAATAGATTTATTCTTCACTATTTTGTGCTATTCTTTGCAGGTTTTTGAAAATTTGAAAATTTAATTCAGCCCTATTTTCATGTTTTTTGTAATTTTTTTCGTGAATTCTTATTGGGGGTAGATTAGTTTAATCATTTGGAAATGAATAATAGCAATTTTGGTTAATGCAGTCGTTGTAGAAATGGCGACAGAAGGATTGACTGAGCAAATCCCCCTGGAGGACGGAAAGTCGGAGGATGCGAATGGCAACAACGAACCGAACGGGAAGGCCGTGCAAGAAGAAGTTGAGGAAATAATTGATGACCTTACTGTGTATGAGCCACAAGGTAATATTTTGATATATGCTTTAGTTTTCAATACTGCATT